ATTTCTCTACGGATTTAGCCTTTTTCAGAGAATGTTTTTTTTTGCGATTGGGGGGCGACCGCTCCCCCCCCTCGCCCCACCTGGCTACGCCACTGTTGATTGAACTAACGTTCGAAGGGCTTTTGTAGACCTAACTAGGAGCAGTTGCGAAAAATACAACCATAGACTCTCTGGTAGGTAGGAATCGATTCCGGTGCAGCGCTCTAACAAACTGAACTACAGAGTCCAGTTGTCGAATTCTAACCCGCAGGTTCGTGTTATTATAACGCAAATAGATCACTGATCTGAATAGTGTACACTGGATAGCGCAAGCCTTCGGAGTTATGTAATGCAAAACGTATTCAGAAAGAAATTGAGAACTCAATAGCTATGTTCCACATTTTTACACAGCTAATTATTTGTGTGCATCGAAAATTTAGCGGAAGAGATGAATTTTGAGACTACAAGAATTGCATGAGAGTTGACTGGATATAACCACGTGTGCACGCGAAAACTTTTATCAAATAATTTGAACAAGTTCAAAGTCGATGAGAGTTGATAAAAGAGTTGGCTGGCATTTTACCATTGTATATTATTTCCTCAAGGTTGGCAAAAGGGATATATGCGCGATTAAGGTTGCCAGCAGGGTCTTAGCTAGGATTTTAGATCTTGGGCGTGTTTCTAATGACCAGGGCGTGCACATGTCAATTACCTTGAATAGCAAAATCACGGTTCTAGTTATGCTCGCCAACAGTGGCGGCGGAACAGGGGGGGCTAGGGGGCTAAAGCCCCCCCAGAAGTAAAAGTGGGGGGCTAAGCCCCCCCAGAAAATTTTGTTTTCTCTGGAAAAATTTAGATAATTAAGGAAAAATGTAGGTTATTTTTGGAAAATTTAGGTATAAGGGGGAAAATTTGGGATATTTTGTGTAAAAATCGAGTATGTCCGGAAACATTTTTTGTTATAGGTCCGGAAAAATTTTTTTCATCCCTTTTCTTGTATATGTCTGGAAAAATTTTTCTACCCCTAAAATGGTACACTGACCGAAATTGTTTTGGCGACGGGGGGGAGGGGGTCACGGAAAAAAATTTAGCCCCCCCCAAACTGAAATCCGTTCCGCCGCCCCTGCTCGCCAACAATAATGCTTGTGGTTGTTCTATGCTTTGCAACCAAAAATACAAGGCCAGCATATGCTCATATTGCGCACTGACATTAAAATATTAAGTTATTTCAGCAACTCTTGGGGGTATTTAAAACCATTTTAACACCATACAGTTCCCATTATCCATCAAAATATTAAAACATCACGAATCACTTTTGCCAATTCAACAACAACAGTAGATTTTACAAACTTTCTTACGACGTAAATAGGAAGAAATTCTGTCTGTTGTAAGTAGCACCACCTTATTTTATGAACCTACACGGCCTTATATAAATAGTGAAGTCGCGTTCATTTTATCTAGCCGTGTTTTTCCACTTTTGGCCGCGATAACACGGCCAACACGGCCCTCTAGCTAAGACCTTGGTTGCCAGCCCGACGTCACAAGCTAAAACTCTTTGATGAGCAAATTGAATAAAGTTAATCGAATGCGGAAAATGAATAGAATGCTAAGAAGCCACTTTAGTGTCGCTAGCGCCAGATAGTCGCCTGTCAAGTTTCTTGAATAGTCATTCACGCCATGGGCACAGAATAGAGAGCTTACAGAAGGTCGACTCAGCCAAAAAGCATAACTACAGCCACGCCATGATTTGCAATGACTCGTCATCAAAATGCTGTCGCCATGTTCCTAGCTGGTGCGCTTGCAAGAGGCATTCACCACCCTGAACGTTCACCATTTTGAATATTTTCAGGGGGGGTGAGTGCTTTTCTGAAGCGCACTGCTAGTAATGAAACGGTTTCGCCAAAGCATATAGGATCGATCGTATGATCTCTGAAAATTGAGCTCTAAGGGGGTTGAAATATGCACGCTCTTAAATGGCATTTCCTGAGTTCTGAGACTCCCCGCCGGGGCTATTGAAAAATGTTTTGTAAAAAATGCATTCTTCTCTTTGCCACACATTTTTTTTAGAAATGAACGTTTTTTTATGCACTCGCCATAATGACCACTAGATGGTTATCAATGGAATAGTTCGTTGTTATTACCACTGGAAAAAATTTTGAAAATCCATAGAAGGTCATAGAATGGAAATTGTATGGACCTTTGTTGGAGGTAGAATGGATTTTGATTATCCATAATAATTGTATATTTCCATAATATGGATATAGTATCGAAATAGTATGGATATACTATGGATTTAGTGGTGCAATTGCAAACTTCACATTTTTGTCCCACTGTACGCTTAGTATTAAACTTCATTACTTTCCATGAGATGGTCAAGTCAAAAACATTCTTAAAGGCTCGTTTATACTATCAAAGTTTCTGTGATCACAGTAGGAATTTTGCATGGGTAAATTCTAAGTTTTGAAGGATTTGTAAGGAATAGGGAACGTCATTGCAATAACTCCGAGTCCGTTTCCTCAAACATTTCTTACAAATCCTCCAAAACTTGGAATTTACCCATGCAAAATTCCTACTGTGATCACAAGAACTTTGATAGCCTTTAGAAGAATGGGGTTCTCATGCGGATAGAACACCTGCTGTCTATAAGAAAATTGGTCACTCTTAGTTGGTCACTAAGTGAATAATTTTAACGAGGCAACACCAATCAAACAGCCTCAAGTGTTTAATGCATTTCGATTCAGATAGGAAAAGCTATTTGTATAATAATAAAACTAATTTAAATACCTAACGATTTGATTTCTATGATTAGACAGATCTAAAACATCTCTTTTCAGTACAAATATTCCGGCTTCAAAATTAGCTCATGAGCTAATTAATAATTCAATGAATTGAATTCAAAAGGACGCAATATTCGGACCTGGTGTTCAGATCGGTGGTGATTCAGATCTGGTCGGCCAAATCTTCTAGTCACATCCTCAACAACATATCATCGAATTCTCGGACGTTCCTTCTAGAACAATTCTTCGATAGGTTAGAGATACCTTATTCACAATTTACATAAAGTCTGTTTACATACTATGCTTCGGTACTTCAATTTCCATACATCTCTCCCGATATAATTGGTTTGTTTTCCTAGCGCATTCAGGTAAGCATATAAGAAATTCAACAGAGTTTTTCCCAAGTATTTTAAGACCTTCACTCTCAAAAACCTCGATTAAGGAAAGGTGGCGTGTTAGCCATTTTTTCTTGCAGCAAAGAGCTGAATTACAAGGAACGCAAATCAAAAATGATCTGTGTATATGTCGAAGGCTTACTAGGGCGCTGCCACCATATACAACCCATGTCTGATCCTGGAGCTAAGGTGGAAGGATTTCGGTGGGGAAAGGCTAGACTTTGTTGAGGGAGGAAAACCGGATTATCCAGAAAAACCTTCCAAGCCCACTCCAATAGAGAACCAGAGTTGTAGTCGACTCGAAACGTGTGAATTGGACTCGAGTCGGACTCGACTCGCAATTCTTATGACTTGTGAGTTTAACTCGAACAAAATGACTTGTGATTTGACTTGGACTCCCAAGAAATGAGTTGTTACCAACGTAAATGAAACGTGCTTTGGTAAATATCCAGTGAAATTACAACTTGCAACTGGAAATTCACTCGTCGATGTATCCTGTGCGTGACTCAGTATAGTGCAGCCCAATTGGCAGATCTGTGAGCTTGTAATGTATAGAATCTTAATATATAATTGTCGTGGGTGACTTCCCAGTTCATGAACATGGTAAAAACAACTGTGCAAAACGACTTGTGACTTGCCTTGGACTCAGACCAAATAACTTATGACTTGATTAGTTCTCAGACCAAACGAGTTGTGACTTGACTAGGACTCAGACCAAATGACTTGTGATTTGACTTGGCTTCAGACCAAATGACTTGTGATTTGACTTGGTCTCAGACCAAATGACTTGTGATTTGACTTGGTCTCAGACCAAATGACTTGTGACTTGACTAGGACTCAGACCAAATGACTTGTGTTTTGTCTTGGTCTCAGACCAAATGACTTGTGATTTGACTAGGTCTCAGACCAAATGACTTGTGACTTGACTAGGTCTCAGACCAAATGACTTGTGATTTTATGTGATATAGAATCTTAATATATAATTGTCGTGGGTGACTTCCCAGTTCATGAACATGGTAAAAACAACTGTGCAAAACGACTTGTGACTTGCCTTGGACTCAGACCAAATAACTTATGACTTGATTAGTTCTCAGACCAAACGAGTTGTGACTTGACTAGGACTCAGACCAAATGACTTGTGATTTGACTTGGCTTCAGACCAAATGACTTGTGATTTGACTTGGTCTCAGACCAAATGACTTGTGATTTGACTTGGTCTCAGACCAAATGACTTGTGACTTGACTAGGACTCAGACCAAATGACTTGTGTTTTGTCTTGGTCTCAGACCAAATGACTTGTGATTTGACTAGGTCTCAGACCAAATGACTTGTGACTTGACTAGGTCTCAGACCAAATGACTTGTGATTTTACTTGGTCTCAGACCAAATGACTTGTGACTTGACTAGGACTCAGACCAAATGACTTGTGATTTGACTTGGTCTCAGACCAAATGACTTGTGACTTGACTAGGACTCAGACCAAATGACTTGTGACTTGACTTAGACTCAGACCAAATGACTTGTGATTTGACTTGGTCTCAGACCAAATGATTTGTGACTTGACTAGGATTCAGACCAAATGATTTGACCGTGGTCTCAGACCAAATGACTAGTGTGACTTGACTTGGTCTCACACCAAATGACTTGTGATCTGACTTGGTCTCAGACCAAATGACTTGTGATTTGACTTGGTCTCAGACCAAATGACTTGTGACTTGACTAGGACTCAGACCAAATGACTTGTGATTTGACTTGGTCTCAGACCAAATGATTTGTGACTTGACTAGGACTCAGACCAAATGACTTGTGATTTGACTTGGTCTCAGACCAAATGATTTGACTGGGACTTAGACCAAATGATTTGTGACTTGACTAGGACTCAGACCAAATGACTTGTGATTCGACTTGGTCTCAGACCAAATGATTTGACTTGGACTTAGACCAAATGACTTGTGACTTGACTAGGACTCAGACCAAATGATTTAACTTGGTCTCAGACCAAATAATTTGTGACTTGACTGGCTCAGACCAAATGACTTGTGACTTGATCGTGGTCTCAGACCAAATGACTTGTGATTTGACTTGGTCTCAGACCAAATGATTTGTGATTTAACTTGGACTCAGACCAAATGACTTGTGACTTGACTTGGATTCAGACCAAATGACTTGTGATTGACTTGACTTGCAAAATAAGACCTTTCAACAACTCTGTAGAGAAACAACCACAACAAACCTCCTAGCTGACGAAGGGCCTTCGCTTGAATCGTCGAAGTTCTCCTTGTATTTTTCAGGTAGTGCATATCCCTAACTACTCGAAGTTTTCTTATCATTGGAACTACCAACACACTGGCGTAGATCGTCCAAGATTATACCACCAATCTCTAAGTATTAGAAAGCTTTATAGGTTTGCCTACCAAGAAGATGACGAGCATATGGAAACAACGAATCTCGCATTCGTACCAGTAGTCACTAGTCACATTTAACACTCTTTATATCATCATGACCTCACCCCACAATAGCCGACTTTACTCTGTATACCCTGCTTCCCCGAAGCAGGTACTAAACTCACTGGCATATAGAAATATCGACCGCAACATGATCTAAGCAAATGCTGATTCAATTACGCCATTTCCGAGCCTCAGTCCTATTATACATAAGTGCTATCACTACCTATAGAGTATACAGAGTGTATCAAAGTAAACGCAATTCATCTTTTGTGCTTAATAACTTTCGAAATACTATTTCTAGTTAAACGCTTTTAGGCTTACTTCAAAGCCTGTTCTTTTCTCTTTCAAACAAACTATTATCCTTGTCTCCAATGCTAGTAATAATTGCACAGGAAAAGATTTAGTAAAACATTAACAATAACAAGTTTACTATGTTATTGTTTAGTCGGTTTAAATGTTAGAATTTTCTTCTTTAAACTTTAATGTTGTCGTCACTACATCTGGAAAACCACGTAAGAACAAATTAAAAGTATTTTAAAAGAG